GAGAAGCGGTGCTCGACCAAGTCGAGCGGTTCAAACGCTTGGTTTGAACAGATTTGCCCCAGTGTTTGGGTTCGGGTTTGAGGTGGGTTTGAGGTTTTCTGCTAGAGGGCCAGCGTTGGGATGCGGGTTCTGGTCCACGCTGCCATCAGGGCCTGGATTCCAGATCAGCCCTGGGATTCGAGCCAGGAGAGCGGGATGAGCGGGGGGAGGAGATGGAGTCCTGGATGGGGGAGAGCGCAGGAGGTGGAGTCGCGGTGGGAGGAGCGGGGAGAGGAGATGGAGTCGTGGATGGAGTCGTGGACGGGGGAGGGGATGGAGTCGTGCATGAGAGGGGGGAGGCGGGGCCGCAGCAAGGCCAGTGGGCTCCCTGCCTCTCGCGCTCTGCCCTCGCCCCTGCCCTCCCCTCCGCCCTGGGTCGGAGTCGGCGTCACCCCGACATACCGACACTCTCAGTGCGTCGCCCCCTCTCGGGGGGGGGCGGCGCGCGCACCGGGAAGTCTCATGGCGTATGCGTCGTGGCGGGCGCCTCCTGGCCACACCGCCCGGGAAGCGCCAGACTGCAAGATGGGTCTGCTGGATGATGTTCGTGTCGGACGCGCGCCTCCACAGAAGAACATGTTCGGAGAGCAGCAAACGCCGTAAACGTAAACTTTTGGCGCTCCGCGCGGGTTTCTTGGATCCGCGCTGGGCCCCCCCCCCCGGGCGGCGCCTCTGGCGCCGCCCCTGGCGCGCTGTGCGCGCCAGGGAGGGGTGCCCAGCGCAGATCCCGGAAATCCGCGCGGAGCGCCAAAAGTTTATGTTTACGGCGTTTTTTTCTTCCTCTATATGTAGTACTATCAGGAGGGGAAGATAACACACAGACGCAAGTCATCGTCGACCCCCAGGGAACTATGGGAGCAGATGGGACGGGGGGGGGGAAGACCAACATCCAGAAAATATGAATACATAAGGGGGTATCCTGGGATTATTTCTTTCTGTGTCCCTGGACCCCTTCGTACTGGTATGCCTCCGTGCTTCCCGCTGGGCACGTCCTGGCCTCTCCTTGTTCTTCTTCTTCTTCTTCTGCTTTTTCTTCTTCTTCTTCTGCTTTTTCTTCTTCTTCTTCTGCTTCCTCTGCTTCTTCTTTCTCTCCTACTGCATGTCGTACTCGTGTGTCTCTGTGCGTCCCACGGGGCACGCCGCCCGGCCTCTGCACGAGGCCCCCCCCCCGTGAGCCTCGGCCTGGCCCCCGCCGCCTCCCGGCGCGCGCGCGTGCCCCTCGCGCCTCCGACCCGGGGGGCTCTCGCCGGGCGTGGGCCTCCCCCTTCCCGGGAGTGTGTTTCGGCCGGGCACGTCCCCCCCGACAGGCAGATTCTGGACCACAAATAAGTGCCCCCAAATGGTCAAACATAGAAAACGAATCGTCCCGATCTTTTTTTTGACCGTTTTGGAATATTCATCCCGTAGAGGGACAGGCCCGACTTTGGAGTTTTGTGTGTGTGATGTGTGAGAGAAGACCGCTCCTCTCCTCCTTCCAGCCATCTATCCTGCTGTCCCCTCGGCGCAGGTACTGGACTGGACACCGCGCCCGGCCTTCCTCGGGCGAGAGGGGAGCAGATCTCCGTCTCTTCCCCTCGTTGTCCTTTACCCAGGACCCCGCGGTAAGGTTTGACCCTTCGGTCGTTGACCTCCGTTCACAGGGAGGGGAAGAACAGCACACAGGCACACAGAGACGTCGATTCCCAGGAGCACATGGGAACATAGTGGAGGTGTGGGGGGGCAAGACGAAGCAACCCAGAGACGATGAGAGAAAAAGTGGGGATTCCTGGGAAGTGTGAGGCTCTCTATTTGACACTGTGTCCCTGGGCGCCTTCGCGCTCGGCTGCACAGATGCTCGGTGAGGGCGCTGCTCTCCCCTGGCCCTGTCTGGGCGGGGCCCTTTTTCTCCCGCATGTTTTGTGAGGTTGTGGGGTTGCAAAAAAAGTCAAGAGGGAAAAACACACAGACACAATTAATCGTCGATTGCCAGGAAATTATGCGAAACTATGGGAAGTGGGGGGAAGACGAAAACCCAGAAAATATAGGAAACTATGGGGGTTCCTGTTATTTGTGTGTATTTATTTGTGTGTCCCTGGGCCCCATTGAATAGATCGGTTTCTGTGTTTCAGAAACGCGACTCCGCTGCAGCGTTGGCCTCATCTTAGGATCGGCGCTTGGCTCCCGGTCAGTCTGACCGCTCTCGCTTCCAGCGCGGGCCACGGTTTTGAATCCCAGTCCTTCCTCGTCGTTGTCGCCCCACTCCTTTTCCCTCCTCCGCCTTTCCCTGGTCCTCCTGCTCGGCCCGTTCTTTTTGCTCCCGCTCCTGCTGCTGCTGCTGCTGCTGGTGCTGCTGCTGCTGGTGTTCGTCTTCATCCTCCTTATTCCTCATCCTCATCCTCTTCCTCCTGCTCATCCTCTTGCTTATCCGCCTCCTCCCTCCTCCTCCTCCTCCGATGTGCACGGCCCCCCTTTTCCTGCGTGCGAATCGCACGATGGCCTCCTTCTGAGGATTCCAGGTCTGCCACGCCCGTCGGCGGACGGACAGCAAATCAGCGAAACGGGATGGGATGGGATGGGTGGGGTGGGAGGGGGTGGGATGTCAGATGTGGCGCGAGCGCACCTGGCTTGCCCCCCTCCCCCCCCTCGCCCCCCTCCCCCTCTCTCCTACCTCCTGCTGCACCGGCCCTGCGCCCACCTCCTCGCCTTCCCCCCCCTTTCCCCTCCTCCTCCTCGTCCTCCCTGGCCTTCTCGTCCCCTTCCCCCTCCTGGCTTTCGTGCAAGACCGCAGGGTGCACTGCGCACCAGGGCCCCTTGGTCTCCTCATCTTCCGTCATCCGCCGAGGCTTCGCAAGAACGTCGTGGCAGATGGAGTGGACAACATTCAGATGGTCGTCGCAGCTCTGATACGAGTCTTCGGCGAGGCCTGGAAGCGAAGCGACGGTCGGGAGAAGTGTGATGGAGAAGCAGCAGTACCTTGGGAGGCAGGGAGGGAAGATGATGCGACGGTAGGGGGGTGGGCCAGAGATGTACAGAAGGAGCGAGTTGGCGAATACTGAGCAGCAGGAGGCAGATGCATGGGCCAGGGAACTGCGTGGAAGACGATGGGGACTGCGATGGGGATCAGGAAGTGCTCGCGCCGGGACGGCGACGGGCGAACATGTCAAGGCCTCCGCAGGAGGCCAGGCAGTGCCAGGCCTGCAGGCGCGCGCCTGCACTCTTCTTTTCGTTGCGGCCACACGTGCAGAAGGGGAACGACGATAACGGCGGCGGCGGCGGCGACGACGACGCTGATGTGGGTAAGAGTCCTCATGGATGCTTCTTGGGGTCTCTTCGAAGCGCTCTCGGGGGCCTCTCGAGGACAGTTTAGGGGCCTCTTGGGTGCCTTTTGGGGGCCTCTTGGGAGCTTCTTGGGGGCCTCGAGGCTTCCTGGAGGCCTCTTGGGGGCCCCTTGGGTGCATCTTGGGGCCTCTTGGAGGCCTCTTGGGGGCGGGGCCGAGGGCTCGAAATGTCCGTTCTGGTCCCTCGTCTGGGCACCCTCTTGGAGCCGTCTTGGGGGCCGTTGGGCTGTCTTGGAGGCGTCTGGGGCCGTCTTGGGGCCCTCTTGGGCCGTTTTGGGTCACTCCTTGAGCCTTCTTGAGCCGTCTTGGGGCGACCTGGGGGGCCTCTTGGGCCGTCTTGGAGCGTCGGGAAGCGGAGAACGCCGAAATGCTACAAAAACAATGGGAAATCAGTGAGCTTTCCTCTTGGGAGTGCTCCTGGAGGCCTCTTGGGGCGTCTTGCAGGGCCCTTGAGCCGTCTGGAGGCCGTCAAGGCGTCTTGGACAGATCGTTTGGCGATTCGGGGCCCTCTTGGACCGTCTTGGGGGCATCTTGGGGCACTCTTGGCGCGCCTTGGGGCTTTTTTGGGCCCGGGGACAGACGGGGGGACCCGGGACACCCCCTGGGACCCCCCCCCCCAGACCCCCCCTCCCAGCGGGGGAGGGATCAAAGGGAAGGGGCTTCCCTTCGAGTCAATTGCGACGACGACTAACGAATGACGGAGACGACGACTCGAACGGACAAGCCCCTCACACGGGTGCGTTGGTTAAGGAATGTGCCCACGAGGCTTCAGATCCTGGAGGTTTCCTTCTCTGATGAGGTCGGCGGTGATATCCATGGCCAAGTCTCGATTGGAGTTCCACCGGCCTCCAGACCCTGGATTCCTTAAGGGTTCCTTATCCAATGCAGAGAGAGATCTCTGAGAGCAAGGGGGTGGCCTTGGAGAGCCCCCTCGGGCCGTCCCTGGGGCCCGCGCGGGGGCGAGCAGAGGAGGAGGCAGCCCGCCTCTCGGGGCCCTCGTGGGACGCTCGTGGCGCGCTCTTGGGCGCTCTTGGGGCCGTCTGGGGGGGGCCCTCTTGGGACCCTCTTGGGGCTCTCTTGGGATCCCTCGTTCTTGGGAGCCCGGGATGGCCTCCTGAGGCCTTCTTGGAGCCCTGGACGGCCTCTTGAGGCCATCTTGGAGGCCATCGATCAAACGGGGGGGTCCCTATTTCCGTCATCTCCCCAAAAGAAAAGAAGCCATCGAAATCGCCTTTTGGGGCCCTCTTGGGTCGCTCTTTGGCAGCTCTTGGGCGCTCTGAGGGCCGTCTGGGGGTGGGTCCATCGGGCCCCTCTTGGGGCTCTCTTGGACCATCCTGTGGCAGTTTTGAGGCATCAGACGCGCATCGGCATCGAAACGACGAGACGGCAACCTCCACCGATTTTCCCTCAGGTGTTTGACTGATTGTGGCCTCTTGGGGTCCCGCGCCCCTCCCGCAAGATCCAGGCCTCCCGCGTCGGCAGCCATGGGGGCGGTCAGCAGGGCTGACCTGCTCGGCGGGCTCCCCGCGTTGGGCGCGATGCTGGACCCGAAAGGCGACCGGGCGGCGGTGTTCGCCCTCCTGAGGACGGGGGTTCCCGGAGGGGGGCAGGGAGGAGAAGAGGAGGAGGAGGAGGAGGAGGAGG